GGAGCGTCTACGCCGCCTTGCGCCGTCTCGGGGGCCACCATGGGCTGTCCGTGCTATTTCGGGGGCCCTCTTAGGCTATCTTGGATCATCTCCGCGGTTGGCGGCGCAGGCGCGGGCGGGCGATATCGCGTTGCGCCCCCCCTGGCCGCGGTTAGGTGATCTCATGCATCGCCATCGTCGTCATCATCGCTGCAACCAGTTGGGCTCAAGCCAGAGGCCCGGGCTTTCGCTGATCGCGTCTTCGGCCACCAGAGCGTCTATGCCGCCGAAGAGAGGCCCGACCGGGGGCCCGCCGCCGTGGCCCAGACAAAGGCCCACCTGGAAGGATTTGCGCGGGGAGCGCGGCGCAGAGCCTGCCCAGGCGCGGCCGCTGCCGCCGCCCGAGGTGGGCCCGCCCGCGAGCCAAGCCGCTCGGCCGAAGGGGGGCCGAGAGCACCGGCGCACCCGCGCAAGGCGTGGGCGCCTCGGGCGGCCCTGCCAGAGCTCGGTGCGCGCGACGCAGCGGCGCTGGACGCTGCGCTGGCCCAGCGGGACTCCGCCCGCTCAGGCGTTGGCGCACGGGCAGACAAGCGGGCGCGCCTGGCGTTGCGCTTTCGCGCGGGGCGCACGCGGGGCACGCTGGCCCGACTGCTCCAGTGTGGACTTGTTAGCGGCGACGGCGGCCCGGCTGAGACGCTGGCCCCGCGGGCAGGGCTCGCTGGCAAACTTCGAGGCGAGGAGGTGGTCGTCCTCGACGCCTTCGTGTGCCGCGGCCGCCTTCGGTGCGACGTGGCCCCCGTAGTCCAAGGCTCTGGGGCGGGCGCCGCTGGCGGCGCGCACGTGCTCAGGACGAGTTTGCGGCGTGGTTTGACCACGCGTGCCGGTTCTGATCTCACGGACGTGCAGCATCGGTGGCGCTGCCGGTCGATCGTCCGCGGTGTTCCATGGATGGCGCGCGTGCCCGAGGGCGTGTCGGATGGCGGGCGCGCAGCATCGGTGGCTCCGCGCGCTCTCGTGGAAGACGCGCAGATGTTGCAGTCTTTCCGCCACGCCCTCGCCGGCATGAACGTCGCGGCGCCCGCGTGCCAGCGGCCCGCGGCGCCAGTCCTCGTGATCCCGAAGGCCGCCGACGATCACGCCCGGCAATTCCGGCACTGGGTCGCGCGTCAGCAGGGGGGGGCCGCGCTGCAGCCGAGCGGGGAATGCAGGCGCGGGAGCTACGTTTGGGACTTCCCGTGGCCAGCGCAGCTGGACCGTCAGAGGTGGGTATGCTTCACGTGCATGGGCTGTCCACGAACATGGGCATTGCCCGCAGGCGTCGCACGGCGGGCGCGGCGACGACGTCGGGCATCGCTGTTACTTCCCAGTCGCCGACGAGGACGTGGTGCGCGTCGTCCCTGACGCGATCGTCATCCGCGGCAACGCGGCGGAGGGCGGGCAGAAGGAGGGCCGCTGTTACGTGACTGGGAGGTTCCTGGCAAGATTCCTCTTCTGCCTGAATGACACGCTGAACTTCCGCGAGTGCCGTCGGCAGCTGCTCGGGGAGTACGTCGCCGTCGCGCGCGGCGCGGAGGCGGGCTTGAGCGACGCCGGCGCGCGGGCAGTCCTCTTCAACATCGCTTTCGCCCTCCCCAAGCGCAAGATGTTGGGCATGATCGCCCCGCGCGCCTTCTCCGCCCCGATTTCGCGGAGAGTGTCTGAGATGCGGCGCCTGCAGAGTCTCTACAACGGTTCCGGGCTGCGCGTGGACGGCAACTTCAAGCTGGCGAAGAAGATTTGGAGAGGTGCCGGCAAGTCCCGCCAGAAGCCCTTCAGTTGCGTGCTCGGCATCTGCGGGACGGACGGATCGCCCCTGCTGCCTGTCGCCCCCGTCCGCGGGGAGGCCTGGATGGACATCAAGCGCGTGCTGCAGCCTCTGCTCGCGGACATCGTCTCTGCTCGCCAGGCCGCCGGCATGTCCTTGGAGGACGCGTGCCCTGCGTTCGTCAGCACCGACTCCTACAACAAGCACTTCAAGAAGTACGCCGACGTGGTGAATGAGGCGTGCCAGCTTGCCCGGGTGCGGACGGCTGGCGCCACTCCGCGCGGCCCACTCGCCGCGCGCTGCATAGTCGCGCCTTCCGTCGGCGTGCTCGTGGCAGGCGAGCCGTTCCACGACGTCCTCAACGCGAGGAGGTGCGTGGAACGACAGCTCGGATCCAGTCGGCTTCGCCGCATCCGCCGCGCCTAGATCTCAGCTGGCCCATCGAACTGCCGGGCGCCAGAGCCCAGCCAGCACCGGTTCATTTGTTCGGTTTTCCCCGCAGGGGCGACGGGGCATGACGTGACGAGGAGCGCGGCCGCGCGCCTTGACGGGCGCGGAGAGCGACGGCTCCGGCGGACTTCTGCCACGACCACGCTGACCTGATCGGCCGGCTGAACGCGCCCCGCGGCCCACCCGAGGAACCGCAAGGCGCGCCTCCCGTGCCGGCGCTTGGAGAGCGCGGGCGCGACCTCCTGCGGACTGCTGTGGCTCAGTCTGCCGCGTCCTTCCAGGAAGCGCTCGCGCAGGATCCAGACGGCGCGCGCGATTTGCGCGCGTTCCTCTCGTCGCCAGGGGTTCTCCGCGCGAAAGGCGTCTGGAAGAGCGCGTTCGGCGCGCAGCCGCCGCGCCCCGTGCTCGCGCGGGTTGCGCGTCGAGCAGGGGCCCAGCTCGACGCCGCGCACGGGTGGCATCTCGCGGCCTTCGGCCCGCCCCGCCGCCACTCTCGGGTCGCGGGCGGGGCCCTAGAGCATTTGGGAAATGTTTCGGGGGCCTTCTCGGGGACCTCTTGGCAGCTTTCCTGGAGATGCTGGGCGTCTCGTTAGAGCGATTGACCGCGCGCCACGTCGCGCCCTGGGGCGCGGCGGCGGATAACTACAGGAGCCGCAAGGCATTTAAGCGGGAAATTAAACGAATGCGACGTTGGTACAGTAGTCCCAAGCGCCTGGCGCGCCGCCGCCGCGGCATCCTGAGGGTCTGCCCAGCCTGCGCCCAGGAAGTGCGCGGCCGCAGATGCGTCTTCAATTCGAAGCTGCGGCGGCATTACAGCCGCCTTCTCAAGTCGCGACGCTTGAGCGGCTTGCTTGCGTGGCAAGAGTGCGCCGAAGGCTTGCGGGCCGCCGGCGTGGGCCCTCGATCCGGCACCGTCCCAGTCGAACAGTCTTGGGCCATCACTGCTTCGTACTGGCCATCCGAGACTAAGACTGCAGGAGAGAAAGTTTTCAAGTTTTTTGCAGACTTGTCATTCCTGCGGTTTTTGTACATGCACTTCCACAGTTCGGCGTTGCCCGCGTGGGTCGACGATGACGTCATGTATTTCCAGCAGAGCGAACGCGCCCGTCTCATGCTCGAGCCCGAGACAGCTCTGCGGCTGGAGCAAGAGTTGGCGGACGCCGCTCGCCAGAGTTCGCAGTGAGCTGCATGCAGGTTGGCGCAATGCCATTGTTAATTTTTTGCAGGGGCGAGGGCGACACTGCCCTACCTCCCGTGGTTGGGCCAGCCGCTAACTCTTGTATTGCCTTCGGCCCATTCCACCACCGTGCCTGGGTTCGTGGTCATGAGCTTCTTGGATGTTCGTCGAGATGTCGCGGGAGACCTCTCGAAAACCTTTTGGAGGCAGTTCAATGTCTCTTAGGGTCGTCCCGGGGCTTCCAGGGTGGCTCGGGCGCTTCTTGGAGCCTCCCGGTGGCATCTTGGGGCGGAAGGCTCGAGCTGTCGGTTCGGGGGTATTAGGCAGGAGACCTGGGGGCATTCCAACTTGCGCCTCAGAGCGCGGTGGCGGATTCGGCCGCCCTGTTCGTCTTCCTCTCCTCCATTCCTCCTCGCCCATCGGCCGCCGCGTCAGCGATCTACGTGCCAGGCTACGGAAAACGCACCCGTCATCTCAAGTTTGCCAAGCCCCCCCATCGATTGCCTTTTTCCCCCTCGTTCTGCCGCCCGCGCTCGGAGAGAGCAGGATGGGGCAGGGATGCCAAGACGATGAGGGAGAGGAGGAACACGAGAAGGAGCGTGTGGAGGAGGAATCTGCCCCGCCCGGGCAGGCAATATCGCGTTGCGTTGCCCCCACCGCGGCGAGTCGGAGGTCCTTCTGGTTTGCCCGTTTCTGGCGGCCCTGGGGCCCGACGGCGGCCCCCTAGGGCCCGAAATCTTCCCGGAAACGTCGAGCAAAAACGCGCCGCCGCCGCCGCCGAAGACGTCGTTGCTGCCGCCGCCGCCGCCGCCGCCGTCGTCGTCGTCGTCGTCGTCGTCGTCGTCGTAGTATGTCGTCGATCCCCGACCTTCAAGGATTCTTGCTCGTTTTAGGCCTCTGGGAGCCGCTTTCGGGGCCTGGGACCGTCAAAAACGGATCCAGGACGAAAAACTATCCCGGGTTGTCGTCGTCGTCGCGACTTGTCCAAATCTTTCGCCCCCCCTTCCGCGCCCCGGGACGCCCTCGCCGCCACGGCTGGAGAGCGACTAGAGTCTGGCCAGAGCGCGCCCCATCGACAGGTCCACGGGCCGATTTCGCATGGAAGCTCGAGGCTCAAGGATCGAGATCGGGAAACGAGGATTTGGGTTCGTCTGGGGGGGCTGGACTGGAAGGACCCCACGAATGCACGTCAGGGCGGGTCGGCAGGGGGGTCCGCCAACTCCTTGTTGATGGAAGGGCTTGGGCGGTCAACTCGGACACTCCGCGCCGATCGCAAGCTTGAACGGCAAATCAGCGCGTTGGCGCCGAAGCGCATTTAGCATGCAGCTCCCAAAACGCCAGAATCACGCACGATCCACGGCGGCGCAAGGGCAGGGGGAGGAGGGGGGCGAGAGGGAGGGTGAGGAATGTAAGGGCGAGGATAAAGGGGGCGAGGAGGGGACGGTAGGGGATGCGAGGGAGGTGGAGGGGAACGAGGAGGCAAGGGAAGATAGGGACTTGGGAGGACATATGGGGGGACGGGGGACAAATCAGAAAGGTAGGAGGGGGAGGTGGAGGAGGAGGACGGGAGGTCGAGGAAGAGTGATGAGACAAAATGGCTGGCAACATCAGTGGCGCACGAGTGGTACGCAGGTCAAAGCACATGTGTTTACGCGTGTGTGTGAGAGGATCCTTATATGCCAACGGTATTGAATGCAACGGCACGTGAAGCAATGGCCACGCCGACCGTCGGAGTATCGCGCCGCATCGCCGATGCATCGCCGATGCAGCTCGATGTGGAGCCCGATGTGCCGTACGTCGGAGGTCGGAGTAGACGGTGCGCTCGCTGCATCGCGCGATACTCCGACGGTCGGAGTAGACGGGGTCGATATTCCGACCGCCCGACGCATGGCGCGCCCCCAACACCCTCAACACCACTTTCTCGTTGCCTCGACGTCGGCTCGCACTCTGAGAGCATCCAGCCGAGATTAGAATCCAAACCTAAACTGCATTGCGGCACCCTAGCTAAATACAGCCAGCCCAATGCAGACCAGCGGCCCAGAGTGTTTGCACAAGCATGCGTGTCACGATATATGCAATATGCTGATCCCTTATGTGTCTATGTCTGCTCAATGCTGCATTACGTTTGCATGCTATGCTAGTGCCTGCTGCGCTTGAAACTCCTGAGGCTCAGGAGCGCTTGGCGCGCTTGAAACCCTTGGCGGGGCGATCTGAAACGCTAGGGGCCTTGGCCTTCACGTGCTGACTGCCATCGGCTGAACTCGGGGCAGGCGGCTTCTTTGGGGTCGGAGTGTGAATAGACCCGTCCGCTAAGCTTTTCTTGGCTGGCGCGAGGTGGGCTCCGCCCCCAGACGCGCCTGCGCCAGGGGCCAACGCCTCGCCAGCCTGTGCTGGCAAAGGCTGGGCTGGAAGTGCGTGCGCCTGCAGGTCCTTGAACAACTGCCAGAAGCACTGCGGTACCTTGGGGTAGCGACCCTCGTTCTCCGTCAAGAACTCCGTCGCTTTCGTCGGCCCCTCAGGGCGATGACGATACGCAGTCAACAGGTCGACGCCCCTGATGACCACGCTTGCTTCCGCAGCGTCCTTCAGCAACTGGAGTGCCACGTTCACTGACTCGGACGTCGTCGGGTGGTCCTGCACGCGGGGGTTGATGGACAGCACGGCTGCTGACGTGGAGAAGGCCTTGATGCAGGTGTGGAGTGAGTTGTGGCGGTTGATCACGACGTCCAGCTTGTTCTTGAGCATCGCCATTGCCATCGTCTCGTTGAACACGTCGTCGACGAAACATGCTGTCCAAGTAGGGGTGACCTTTGCCGTCGCCTGTCCCTCGTTGGTCAAGACCTCGGCCATGCCCAGCAAGAGCATGCTCTCGTAACGCCCGCTGACTCTTGCCGCCAACAAGCACCAGTGACGCATGGTGTGGATCGACTCGCGGAGCTGCCAGCCTGTCTTCTCGAACTCCATGGCCCTGGGGTCGTTGGCCATGCTGTCCAGCTTCTGTCGCGCACCGTGGAGGATCTGCAATATGAAGGTGGCCGTCCCGCAGAGGTACCCTTGACTCATGAACTGCTTATCCTTGGAGCGAGCCTTCCTGCCTATAGCCACCTCGGCTGAGGAAATGACTGCGACCACGTCGGCGACAGCGCACTTGAGCTCCATAGCGAACATGCACAGGTCGATGCTGGGCTCCGGTGCATCCACAGTTGAGTAGAACATGCCAGGGACGTCGATCTCCGTCAGCATGACTGCTCTGATGAAGCATCGCAGGTGCTCGAGAGCTCGGTTATGAGGGAGAAGCTCCAACACCTTGGGATCCCCTTTGCTTCCAGAAACATCAATGGGCGCAAGCTTCGCAACATTGTCGGCATCGCCCTTAGGCAGCAAGTGAGGATACAGGGCCGAGTCGTCGCACTCCTTTAAGACGTCGGCGTGAACGCTCCCCAGGAGCACCTCCACGTCAGAAATCGTAGAACTCTTATCTACCAAGAACGCTGTAGCCTTGAAGTCGTACATGCGCTGGCCGACATGCTCAGCAAACGCCGCGAACAACGCTGCGATGTCATCTCCGACCTCGGGGAGATCGAGGGTGGATGAGGTCAGCACGGTGAAGGGCGTGACTGAGGTGTGCTCGTGGTGGACCTTGCTGAAGTTGCAGAGGGCCTGCTCGTCGGGCTTGGTGCTGCTCTTTGAAAGTGACTCGCCGTCGAGCCACCAGTCTGGGTCGGCAAGCAAGTGAAGGCTCTCAAGGTATATGATAATCTTGTCGATGACCGCAACGTTGTGGTTGAAATGTCTCAGGACAGTGTCGCCCGACGCGTCCTTGTCGAAGTGATCGTGCCAAGAGCCGCCCACTCTGGTGGCCGCGAGCTTGTGCAGCTTCTGGGCGCCCAGCGCAGACTTCAGCATCAGCTCAACGAAGGCTCTCAAGCGCGGGCGCATCGCTTTCACAGTGGCGTCGATCTCACGGATGTGAGCGAAGAGGCGGACTGGCGACGAGAACGGCATTGTCGGCTGCACATTGCCGTCGCCGCCAGGCTGGGTCGACTCGCACTCGGCTTTGACGACCTCTGTCTGGATGGGGCCTGAATTGTCGCCGCCTGCGGCAGCACACGAATCTGCCATGCCCGCCTGTGAAGCTTGCCCCAGGAGATGGCCGATTCAACCTCTGACGGTATCACTAAACCACGTTTTACTAAAGGGAGGTCTGTCCATCCCCGAGTTACTCAACCCTCGGACGCTCACCAGAGTGTGAGTGCACCGCGAGGGCGTCTCGAGCGGGAGACCCTCCCTTAGGGCCTCCCGCCTCGCGTTGGCAATCCGAGACGGCCATCGGAGCATCCTGGTCCGTAGCCATTGTGGCTCAAGGCTCAAGCCTTTTTTTGCCTTGAGCCGTATTTGCTCGGTTTGCAGTGCTGGCCAAACACGTTCGTTGTTCCGGGTGCTGGCGGGCATTGCGGCAGAGGTATCGGCGCATACATGGTGAACACGGCAACGCTGCCGAGTGCTTGCGTATTCGTGTTCCGTCTGTTCGTTGCAGCGTGGGCGATTTTGTTCCTTCTGTCCGTTGCTGCAATACGATTTGGAACGACTGGACGTGCAATTTTGCGCTTAAAAAGTACGTGTTTGTCTTGCACTAGTGCTTCCACCACATCAACCGTCCCATCCCTCCACTATTTCGACACCTCGTGGAGCGAGAGAACACATCTGAAGAAATTTAGGTCGTGCGCCCCAGGCTTCCACAAGTCCGCCCTCAGCACTGTCGTCATTTTACACGGCTCCGCCGTTATTCATACATTTAAGAATGGTGGGACGTCGTTGCTCAAGGTCGCTCGCGATCACGGTGGTACGGTGAAGACGGTTTTTCCACCTATGAATCTCACCAGACAGGAGGTTGCTGATTTTGTTGTCAATTATGATGGATTCAAGGCTGCTTTGATCAGAGATCCATTGGAACGCGTAGCGTCTTCTTTCCATGAAGTTATGTCGAGGCAGAACCGCGGAAGAAATTTGACCCTACAAGACAGGTTAGCATTTGCCAATCAGACGGTACTGGTGGAAAGGCTCACGAAAATGTTATCCCCGCTATCCAGCAATCCGCATTTTCTGCCACAGACGCAGTTTATGGTGGATTCGAGCGGTGTTAAGTTCCAGCTCGATTATATCGGTCTGGCAGATGATTTGGACGACGAGTTGAGTTTTATCATGAGGATGCCAGAAGTTCATGTGCCCTTCCTCTCGGGGCCAGATGACTACAAGATCAGCTTCTCTGAGTTATTCCGGGTCAACACGACGACGCTTCCTGATGATGTCGTTCGCATGGTGTGCGATGGCTATTCGGTTGATTATTGTTGCTTCGGTTTTTCTTTTCCGAAGCCATGCCAGCACATGACATGCTCTGCGTTTTTTCCTGCGTGATGCTTCAATGTGGAGAGCTGGCGCAGCGCGCCCCTGAAAAAGTGCTGACGCTCTGACGCTTTTGACGCTCCTGACGCTCTTGACGCTCTGACGCTCCTGACGCTCTTGACGCTCTGACGCTCCTGACGCTCCTGACGCCCCAGGCGTCAGGGGTCAGGGGCGTCAGAGCGTCAGGAGCGTCAGGAGCGTCAGGAGCGTCAGAGCGTCAAAAGCGTCAGAGCGTCAAGAGCGTCAAGAGCGTCAGGAGCGTCAGGGAGCGCCAGGGAGCGTCAAGGGGCGTCGGGGCGTCAGGAGCGTCAGGAGCGTCAGAGCGTCAGGAGCGTCAGGAGCGTCAGGAGCACCAGGGGCGTCAGGAGCGTCAGGAGCGTCAGGAGCGTCAGAGCGCCAGGGGCGCCAGGAGCGTCAGTGACGTCCACAACTCCGGCGCCGCCGCTCGAGACATCCTCACGACTCCAGTGCCGCCGCTCGAGACATTCTCACAACTCCGGCGCCGCCGTTCGAGACGTCCTCACGACTCGGGCGCCGCCGCTCGAGACATACTCACAACTCCGCCGCTCGAGATCTGGCGGGGCGTCAGGAGCGTCAGGGGCGTCAGGAGCGTCGGGAGCGTCAGGAGCGTCAGGAGCGCCAGGGGCGCCAGGAGCGTCAGAAGAGCCAGGGGCGTCAGGGGCGTCCACAACTCCGTCAGGAGCGTCAGAAGAGCCAGGAGCGTCAGGGGCGTCCACAACTCCGGCGCCGCCGCTCGAGACATCCTCGCAACTCCGGCGCCGCCGCTCGAGGCATCCTCACAACTCCGGCGCCGCCGCTCGAAACATCCTCACAACTCGGGCGCCGCCGTTCGAGACATCCTCACAACTCTGGCGCCGCCGCTCGAGAGGGATGAAGGGATAGAGGGATGGAGGGAGGCTGGATGGAAGGAGCGAGGAGGAGGAGGAGCGCCTGGGGCGTCAGGAGCGTCAGGAGCGTCAGAGCGTCAAGAGCGTCAGGAGCGTCAGAGCGTCAAGAGCGTCAGGAGCGTCAGGAGCGTCAGAGCGTCAGAGCGTCAAGAGCGTCAGGAGCGTCAGGAGCGTCAGAGCGTCAGGAGCGTCAGGAGCGTCAGGAGCGTCAGAGCGCCAGGGGCGCCAGGAGCGTCAGGGACGTCCACAACTCCGGCGCCGCCGCTCGAGACATTCTCACAACTCCGGCGCCGCCGTTCGAGACGTCCTCACGACTCGGGCGCCGCCGCTCGAGACATCCTCACAACTCCGCCGCTCGAGATCTGGCGGGGCGTCATGAGCGTCAGGGGCGTCAGGAGCGTCGGGAGCGTCAGGAGCGTCAGGGGCGTCAGAGCGTCAGGAGCGTCAGAAGAGCCAAGGGCGTCAGGGGCGTCCACAACTCCGTCAGGAGCGTCAGAAGAGCCAGGGGCGTCAGGGGCGTCCACAACTCCGGCGCCGCCGCTCGAGACATCCTCACAACTCCGGCGCCGCCGCTCGAGGCATCCTCACAACTCCGGCGCCGCCGCTCGAAACATCCTCACAACTCGGGCGCCGCCGTTCGAGACATCCTCACAACTCTGGCGCCGCCGCTCGAGAGGGATGGAGGGATGGAGGGATGGAGGGAGGCTGGATGGAAGGAGCGAGGAGGAGGAGGAGGAGGAGGAAGAGGAGGATAGGGATGGGGGAGGAGGACGAATGGTCAGAATCGGGTGGGGACACTTTTAGCCCCAAATATCGATCGACAGATTTGGTAAGTTAATTGTGACGCGACTTGTATCAGAGCAGGTCGTGGGGATATCCCGTACGAGGCACTCGATTGACATCCCCGGCTCCTGTGCATTCAGAGCACCACTCGGAGGCCCTCGTCGCTACGGCTGGATTCGCGTTAGCTGCCATCGGGTGCTATTTGCTGCTGTCGGCCCCCGGCGGCTACACTCGGCTGTTATACGAGACAGCAGGCTTACATCAGAACTACCCGAGTGTTGAACACAGGGTGAAGAGGGGAGAAATAAGGAGTATCCTCATATTTCCTCTTCTTTCTCCGGTGTTCCTGCTCGCGCCATTTCTTATCCTCGGTATAGTTATCCCCGTCCTTCCTTCCTCTTGCGTCTCATGCGGTCTTCCGCATTTCTTCACCCCCCATCGTTTTACTCGTGCTGCTCTTCTCCCTTTGTCTCCTACTTGTCTTTCTCTCCGAAGCGTTGGCTCAAGATGAAACGCTCTCGGTGCGAGGGCGCTACAGATTGTCCGCGTTACACCACGTGCCGTGCCGAGGACGGACGCCCCGCGTGTTCAGAGCACGGCGGGGTGTCAAGACGCGGCCGATGGGACCGCCAGGCTGAGGCCCCGGCGTCTGCCCCCCCAGCGTCTCCACCAGAACCAGCAGGTCCGCCAGCGGGCGTGGAAGCCACGTCGGATTCGGATTGTTCCGATGTTGACAGCGAGCAAGACCAGGAACACGATGAGGACACCCGGGAGCCTACGTCATGGACGGGCATATCGTACCAAGGAGACGACAGTGAGAAGTATTTGGTGGGAGCGGACTTGATGTCCGATAACCTTAGCATCGCTTCTGACCAGATCGCTGTCCGCATGGGTTTCACCAACAAGCCTTTGTTCCGCGCGTTCTTCTACTTCTACTGCCTCTTAGTTGTGGTCCAGCCGGACGTGTTGGTCCCGAAGGAAACCCGGGATCGCGTGGAGTCTGGGCTAGAGCGCGCCCCGTCGCTGCATCGAGCTATTGTGTCGCACGCGCCCTTGTTGGGCAGGCAGCCTCGCCTGGACGCGGCGCTCAGGTCGCGCGCGTGTTTTGCGGTCAGCATCTATCGACGCATTTTCCGTTCGGCGCCGGCGACTGAGGCTCGCTTGGCTGCGTGTTTGGCGTGCGATTGCATGCTTCGATACACGGGAACCGCCAAGTTCATCGAGGATACGGCGATGCGGGATCCATGCGCTGCTCTTCGACATCTCTGCGACGGCGTCACGCCGGACACGAGCGAGGCGGTTGCTGGTTTTCTCCGCGCATCTGTCCTCAGCAAACTGCATCTGATGTCGTCTGTCACTGGGTGGTTCGACGGGCACGACGGCAGGCGGCGCACGTACCCGCGCAGCTTCGGTGTTCCGATTGTTTGCAATTTCCGGATCATGGACCACCTGTTGCACGCTCTGCCGGGATGGATAGCTTCCTGCTTCGCCATCGCGGGCCAGCTGAGCAGTTTAATCAGAGTCGCGAAGATGGCGCGGGCTGGCGAGGACGACCCCGGGCTGGTGAAGCGAGCTTTCGCGGTGACGGAAGCGCTCATGCTCAGTTTGCTTACGCTGGACTTACTGGGTCGCCCCACCGTGTCACCGTCGCTGCCGTTTGCGTCCAGGGTGCACTGCCACCCGCTGAAGTTCATGCTCTCGGACATATTCTTGTTGGTCGGGTGCGCCGCGTGCAGCCACGCGGGCAGGCCCGCCGATGGCGGCGGTGACGGTCGCATCATGGGGGCGAAACCCGCCTGTTAGATGCCGCTGCCCCCAATGCGCGCTTCTCTTCCGCATCCGGTGCGAGTGCATCTTCGTGGGGCCAGCCCCGCGGGCGTTCCTCGCCGCCGCCCAGTGCATGCCCGACGGTTTCCCCCTTGCCGTGGAGACGGCGCTGCCGAAGCTCCGGCAGCTCAACGAGTGCATCAATGAATACTTCGGCAGCTCCTTCTGCTTGCATCGAGCGGCCTTCGGCCCATCCCGCCGCCGCGACCGGGTTGTAGGCCCCGGGCCTGCGGGGCGGGCGACGCGATCGAAGCGGCGCCAACGGTGCCAAGGCGGCGCTCTGCAAATTGCCGTCGGCCCCATTAGCGGGGCGCTCGCCGCTAGCGGGCTCGAAGCAAGGCGAATCGCGCTGTTCGAGGCCGCTTAGCGGAGCGGCGTTCCGTTGACGGGGGCGAAGCAATCTGGGTTGCGTCGTTCGAAGCCATTGGCCGCGGGGGGGCGCTCCGCTGATGGGGGCGAAGCAATCTGGATCGCGTCATTCGAGGCCAGTGAGTAGCGGCGCTCCACCAGATGCATGCAGCATGTTTCGCGGGCCTCTTGAAGTTTCCCCAGGGTTGAGGGCCAGGGGCTGCGGGGGCCCGGTGAACGCGCCACTTCGTGCCTCTAGGCGCGGTGGCGGATATTCCACAGCGCCTGCCTTGCACGTGGCGCTTGTTCTTGATGTACGCGCGGTCCAAATCTAAGGTGCCGCCAGATGCGCTCGCGGACTACGAGTGGAGGTCGAGGTGCCGCGTGCTCGCGGAGGCCACGATGGCGGTCGAGGCAGCGCTGATGAACAACATGTTCGGCTGGCTGTCGCGGCACGGCCTCTTTAGCGAGTGTGAGTCGCACGCGCCCCGCGCGCGGCGTCGCATCCTCCTCGCCATGGACTGGTCAATCGTCGGCGACCGAGCCGGGGCGCTGCAGGCGATGACTGCAATTGCGCAGGCTGCGCGCTGTTGAGCGGCCCAGCGCGAGGAGGAAGAGGAGGAGGAGGAGCTCCCCGCAGGGTTTCCAAAGGTCCACGGAGGCTTTCGGAGGACCAAAAAGAGACAACAAATAAACAATAACGTTTCTTCGATACTCCCCCTCCTCCTCCTCCTCGCCCCATCCCAGGACGACGATTCGCTGTCGACTTGTTTGTATTGCGAAGGCCTGACGGCCGGTGCCGCCGACCCCGTTCGCAATGCGCAGCAAGAGGCACGGGCTGTGGGATGGTTTTGGGGAACGGGAAGAAGGACGAGAAGGTGGGGGAGGGAGGTGTCGTATCTGACCCGGGACTTCCCCGGGACTCCCTCGGGACCCCCCCCCCCCGGGACCCCCTCTCCCCCCCCCGTCGGGGAAGGGAAAGGGAAGGGGCTTCCCTTCGATTCAATTACGACGTTGCTCAAGGTCGGTACGGGGGGGGGGCGTCGTATCTGACCCGGGGGGGGGTCGGTACCCCCCCTCGCTACCCCCCCCCCCTCCCGGCGGGGGAGGGATCAAAGGGAAGGGGCTTCCCTTCGACTCAATTACCAGGTTGCTGAAGGTCGGCTTGGCTGGAGCCCAGGGGAAGAGGAGTCCCAGGGAAAGGGCAGGACAGAGACGACGAGAACAAAAAATGACGGAGATGACGGCTCGAACGGAAAAGCCCTTCACACACGCCGACAGGGGGGGGCGTCGTATCTGACCCGGGGGGGGGTCGGTACCCCCCCCCCTACCCCCCCCCTCCCGGCGGGGGAGGGATCAAAGGGAAGGGGCTTCCCTTCGACTCAATTACGAGGTTGCTCAAGGTCGGCTTGGCTGGAGCCCAGGGGAAGAGGAGTCCCAGGGGGGGGCGTCGTATCTGACCCGGGGGGGGGGTCGGTATACCCCCCCCCCCCTCCCCGGGGGAGGGATCAAAGGGAAGGGGCTTCCCTTCGACTCAATTACGAGGTTGCTGAAGGTCGGCTTGGCTGGAGCCCAGGGGAAGAGGAGTCCCAAGGGGGGGCGTCGTATCTGACCCGGGGGGGAGGGGGTCGGTACCCCCCCCCCCTACCCCCCCCCCCTCCCGGCGGGGGAGGGATCAAAGGGAAGGGGCTTCCCTTCGACTCAATTACGAGGTTGCTCAAGGTCGGCTTGGCTGGAGCCCAGGGGAAGAGGAGTCCCAGGGGGGGGCGTCGTATCTGACCCGGGGGGGGGGTCGCTACCCCCCCCCCCCCTCCCGGCGGGGGAGGGATCAAAGGGAAGGGGCTTCCCTTCGACTCAATTACGAGGTTGCTCAAGGTCGGCTTGGCTGGAGCCCAGGGGAAGAGGAGTCCCAGGGGGGGGCGTCGTATCTGACCCGGGGGGGGGGGGTCGCTACCCCCCCCCCCTCCCGGCGGGGGAGGGATCAAAGGGAAGGGGCTTCCCTTCGACTCAATTACGAGGTTGCTCAAGGTCGGCTTGGCTGGAGCCCAGGGGAAGAGGAGTCCCAAGGAAAGGGAAGGACAGAGACGACGAGTACAAAGAATGACGGAGATGACGGCTCGAACGGAAAAGCCCCTCACACACGCCGACAGGGTCGGCGGATTTTTCTCGACCTCAGGCTCCGGGGGCCGATTTCGGGCCCTAGGGCCTTCGAAAACGGGTCCAGGATCATCCGCAGTTCCGGGCGTTCCCATGGAATGATTCGGCGGCTGCGGCGGGCCGGGCAAAAGAAGATGCGATGGAGGTTCGTGGAGGCGCACGGGGATCACGAGGACCAGAACGAGGAGGAGGAGGAGGAGGAAACCGCCTGTGGGATTCGTCGCCGACGTGCATCATTTCGTTGTTTTTTTTGCTCTCGGGTTCCGTGGCCTTCAAAAACAAATCCAGTGTCCGCGGCGTGTTATGGGAGCTAGTATGCAACGGCCCTGGCGCTGATTGCTTACTAGTAGTTCATCGAGCAGCCCCGGCGCTGACCCGATGGGCGTTCCCATGGCTTATGCAGAGCGGGCAGAAGAACAGGCGAAGGAGGAGGATGATGGAGGAGGCGGGGGAGGAGGGGAAGGAGGAGGAGAAAACCGCCTGTCGGAGGCGCGCCCGCCCGTAAGAAGCGAGGGCGGCCGGCCCGAGGGGGACGCACTTGAGGTTGGGACTTCGTTGCTCCCTTGTACCACAGTGCAGTGCCGCCCCTTCCCCATGTTGCCCCCTTAACCCTTTCCCCGTCCAGCCCGCTTATTTCGCTAACTTTTCTGCCCCCCGACCCATTCGCATTCTCAGCCCTGCGAGCCCTGATGTGCATTTCGTCTTGCACCCCTTGCCTTCTCAATATTTTTGCCGTTTGAACGTATTACCCGTTCCCCATCATACCCCCCATTCACTATCCCACCCCACCCTATCTTCACGCCCCTACCTTCCTAACACTATTGGCCCTCTTGCCCTTTATTTTTTTGCGCACATACCCTCTTCATTATCTTGCCCACGTGCTGTCTGGACCATCTTACCCTATTAAACCTGCTAGTAACCCTGTCGTGTTTTGTTTTGGTTCATTATCTTATTCACCTTCATACCTCATGCTGTCTTCTTCTTACATCCACGATCCATCGAACGATCTTGCCATTGTTGGCCCTCTTATCCCAAACTTCCCACGACGGATGATTCGCGGCCAGTTTCGGTCTCTGGAGGCCGCCGGCCGGGCTTTTTGCCCGACGCAGCATTCGAAACGATGCTGTCAGCAGGTGACATACGCACCGAGAAGTTTCTCAGTCTGTTTCCCAGACGGCTTCAAGACGTCACCAAGACGGTCCTCTTACCCTCGCACCCCCTTGAATAGCATTGACCCGCTTCACCATCCTACCCTCTTGCCCCTGCCCCCTGGACAGCATTGACCGTCTTCGCAGTCTTACTCTGTTACCTTCTTACATCCCGGGCTCGGCCTCAAGACGTCACCAAGACGATCTTCTTGCCCTCGCACCCCCCTGAATAGCATTGACCCGCTTCACCACCCTACCCTCTTGCCCCGTGGCCCCCTGGACAGCATTCACCGTCATCGCAGTCTTACTCTCTTACCTTCTTCCACCCCGGGCTCGGCCTCAAGACGTCACCAAGACGATCCTCTTACCGTCGCACCCCCCTGAATAGCATTAGCCCGCTTCACCATCCTACCCTCTTGCCCCCCTTCCCCCTGCACAGCATTCACCGTCTTCGCAGTCTTACTCTCTTACCTTCTTACACCCCGGGCTCGGCCTCAAGACGTCACCAAGACAATCCTTTTACACTCGCACCCCCCGAATAGCATTGACCCGCTTCACCACCCTACCCTCTTGCCCCCCTTCCCCCTGGACAGCACTCACCGTCTTCGCAATCTCACTCTCTTACCTTCTTACTATCCGGCCCTCGCCATCGCATTTTCATTGTGCTTTATTACCCTCGTGGCGCTCTTTTCTCGTCAGCCCTGAGACCTTCTTGCCCTCTCAGCCCTCTTACCCCCTCAATCCTCCTGACCTTCCTGCCACGCTAAACCTCTCCGCCCTCCTGACATGGACAAGGGAGGGGGCAGGGATGGATGGGTGTTAAAGGCGATTGTCACGCGTGCCGGGCCCAGGCGTCGGAAAGAGGGTGCAGGAGGGGGGCGGAGGGAGAAGGGAAGCAAGACTGTAAATTGACGTTTTTGCTGTCGCTGCGATTGGAGCGTTACGGACGGCAGGAGGCTCATGAGGAGGGCGGGCGGGACTTTCACTTTCGTCTCGTTAACAGGGGGAAGGCGGAGGGAGAAGGGAAGCAAAATGGGAAGCAAAATTGTAAATTTACGTTCTTGCTTTCTCTTTGCGATTGGAGCGTTACTGACGGCAGGAGGATCATGAGGAGGAGGGGCAGCGGGAACTTACACATCCTCTGGATTCACGCAGCATTAAGTTTCAATTGTATTCGGTTTCGCACGTTCTCGGTTTCACCATTTTTTTTAGCAGCGCACGTTTGAGCTTCATGGAGTAGGGTCAGAGACTTCACGCTTGTAAGTTTAGGCTCCGTTGTCGGGGGGACTTGGATCGTGGACTAGTGTCCTCTCGCTTTTGTGTTTTGTGGAGCAGCGTCAGCGACCTCGCGCTTGCACTGCCCGCGGTAATTGGATGAAAGCAACGTGTCGTGGACTAGTACTTGCTGTTGTCTGCCTTCCTGCGTCCCAAATCCCCCAGTTCTCCGCTGCGCCAAACAATTCTTCACGCTTCGCGTATCCCCGCCATCCCGCCCCCACCAGCCCGTGCCTTCTCGGGCTATGTTGTGCCATCTTGGGCGTCGTCGTCTTTGGCGTCGTCGGCGTCACCATTGCGTTGCCCCGGGCGATTGTTTGTCGTGTTTCCCCCGCCGCAGCGGCGGAGGAGGAGGCGGATGAGGAGGAAGAGAACGACTTTTCGGTCGCTTTGCGCAGTTTTGGAGACCGGTTTGGGTTATTCGTGCCTGATCGGAGGTCCTATGTGGCTATCTTGCCATCTGAGGCCTTTGAATCAGCTTGGGCTACTTGTGCCATTGTGGAGGCCCTATGAGGCCTTCGATTCATCTTGGGTTATCTTGTTCCATCCTGGCTGGAGCTCGCACGATGTCGGGGCTGTGCTCAAGGCTAGCATCATCATCATTGTATCCGCTTGGGCCCAAGCCTCACGTCCGGGCGCGGGTTGCGCACAGGGCGCCACGAGCCGTTAGCGCGGCAAGTCGGGGATGGCGGGGAACGCGGAGGACCGGGACACTATGTGCGCGATCTGCTGGTCAGACTTTGACGAGGCGCCTTGCGAGGCGTTGATGTGCGGGCACGTTTTCCATGCAGAGTGCTTGGCGCGAGACATGGAGGCAAGGGGCGTTTCTAAACGGCTGCAGCGATGCCCAAAATGCAAGATGACAGCAGACGCAGCAGAGAAGGCGCCAGTGGCAGGGGGCCACGGCGTCTTTGCGATCCCGGACGCCCAGGGGGGGACGCGGGTGCTTCGTCGCCGAGCGCAGGCCAGGGCATCCGGCATCTGCGGCGCCGGCAGTTCCTCCGGCGACGCTGCGGGGGCTGCGACGGATGGCCAGAACGGCAGCGCGCTTCCAGCAGCGGAGGCGGCGCCCGCCGCCGCCGCGGTTCCCCAGGACATCGTGCCTGCGGAGGCGGCGCCCGCCGACGCCGCAGCGGTTCCCCGGGACATCGTGCCCGCCGCGGGCGCCCCCATGGACATCGTGCCCGCTGCCAGTCAGGGCGGCGAGCTGGCTGGCAGCCAAGCCGGCGACGGCGAGCTGGCTGGCAGCCAAGCCGGCGACGGCCCGGTCATGCTCGACCCCCTCCGCGGGCTTCAGTGGAGGAGCGCCCCGGCGAAACGACGGAAGATTATGAAGGATGCCCCGGAGCTGGTGCAGCAGTGGGACGAGAGGATTAGGGCCGCCGCGGGCGCGGGTGCGCTCAACGACGTCCTGTTCAGCAAAGAGACCTCCGCTGGCTTCGAGAACGCGGAGACCGCGGTGGCGACCATCAAGAAGTGCCTGGAGTCCATCGCCAATGACACTAGGGAACCCCACGAACTTGCAGCTGACCTCGACTTTGACCAGCGGCCTGGGCACCCGCTAGTGTGGTACGACGTGGTGAAGCGCATCTGCGACGCTCAGGGCTACCACCACGAGGGCTTCGCGCTCCTCCTCGAGTCCAACATCGGCTTTTGCGAGCACAGCGAGACGTACCTGACCCACGATTTGGGCTGCACCCACCGTGTCTCGCCGTCGCAGGCGTGTCTCGTGTCGCAGAGTGCCTCCATGCGCAAGAGCCCCCAGCTCGAGTTGGCGGACAGCCTTATCCTCGACGCCGAGAGCGCGCCACTGGAGTGGGCGGACCGCAAAGTGCTCATGACGGACGGGACCAAGAAAGGCACCGAGTCCACCCTAGAGCAGTACAGGCGCGGGCTGCTCAGCAGTTCGGAGGGCGCCAATACGATCTACGTGGAGGGCTACTCGAGTAAGGAGGCCAGGATTCACTTCTTCTTCAAGCAGCGCCTGTGCCAGTGGACGCAGGCCGAGTCCATCTCGTCCCCGACGGGGCATGGGCCGATGGCGCTCGTGAAGGGCACGTACAATTTCGGCTGCCGCATCATCACGCAGCCCGAGACAGCGGACTCGACCATGCGCCCCGGGGCGCAGGGGTGGCACAAGCGCTTGTCCATCGCGGCGGCGCCTCAGGAGTCGCGTCTTGCAGGGTGGCGCGGAAGCAGCCGCTGTGCAGAGCGCGCGGGGGCCCCCGTCTTCCGCCCCTCAGCAGCGGGGGCCCCCGGGCGCGCGGCTCGGCGGCCGCGTCGGCGCCCCGGGGGATTTCGTCCCGAGGGCGAACGGCTTCGCCGACACTGAGTGCCAGGACTTCCTCAAGGACTTCTACGAATGGTGCGTTATCAACTGCCTCCCGCATCAGCACAGCATTGTTCCGGACGACTTCGCTAGCAGCCTTTACGACGCCATAGATACTGCTGCGAGCGATGGAGGAGAACCGCATCAACAAGTGGTGGAAGGCAAAGCTTTTGTTTTTCCGTTCTGACCTGCTCCGCTCCTCTCTGAGCACCATGCGCATCTTCCAGCACTGCGCGGGCGAGCAGGCGCCGCTGCGTAGCCAGATCTCCTTCCTCGAACTGGCCGCGGCGCTGCAGCGCGTGCACCGGCAGTGGCAGCTTCACCACGGCGCCTACATCTCCATGTTGGCAAAGGACCCGTCCGTGGGCGGGATGGCGCCTGCTCCGCTGGCGGGGCGCTTGCAGTTGTCTTTGGAGCAGACTTTGCAGGCCGCCCTCTTGCAGCACACGCCTCGAGACGGGCGGATCACGTACACGGCTTTCCGCTTGGCAGTCCGCGGCAAGCGCGGGCCAGCGTTCAGGGGCGCGACGGGCCAGCCGGGCGTGGGCCCGCTGATGCCGCGCATCAAGGTGGCTGTGGCGGCCCTGGTTGCGGGCGGGGTGCTCGAAGAGGCGCCCGGCGCGGACCAGGGCTTCGTGAAGGTGGGCTATCTCAAGCAGTCCGAGAAGCAAGCGGCCTTTCGCCGCAGCCTCGGCGTCTCGGTAGAGGTTTTCCCCGATCCCTGAAGCGGCGCATGCATCCTCGAAGGCGCCCCAGCAGCCCCGCTGCCGAGGCGCGCGCAGGTCGGCGCAACACCGCTGCTTCAATTCGCTGTCGTGGCGACAGCGCTGCCAGCCTGCGCGCGGCGATTGCGCCAGCCGCCAAGTATTCGGCCACCCCTCGTTTCCTCGGCCGCGGCAAAGGCGATCCACGCGCCCGCGCGTTTCTGCTGCGTCTGCGGGGCCCCTTCGCTCGACCATGGCCCGATAGGTCCCCGACGGGGGCTCCGTCGCGGCCCCGGGGCGGCCCGGGCCCCACAGCGGCCCAAGAGAGCTTTTATAGCCCCCAGTGGGCTCGCTCCAAGGGAGCGTCTACGCCGCCTTGCGCCGTCTCGGGGGCCACCATGGGCTGTCCGTGCTATTTCGGGGGCCCTCTTAGGCTATCTTGGATCATCTCCGCGGTTGGCGGCGCAGGCGCGGGCGGGCGATATCGCGTTGCGCCCCCCCTGGCCGCGGTTAGGTGATCTCATGCATCGCCATCGTCGCCACCATCGCTGCAACCATTTGGGCTCAAGCCAGAGGCCCGGGCTTTCGCTGATCGCGTCTTCGGCCACCAGAGCGTCTATGCCGCCGAAGAGAGGCCCGACCGGGGGCCCGCCGCCGTGGCCCAGAAAAAGGCCCACCTGGAAGGATTTGCGCGGGGTGCGCGGCGCAGAGCCTGCCCAGGCGCGGCCGCTGCCGCCGCCCGAGGTGGGCCCGCCCGCGAGCCAAGCCGCTCGGCCGAAGGGGGGCCGAGAGCACCGGCGCACCCGCGCAAGGCGTGGGCGCCTCGGGCGGCCCTGCCAGAGCTCGGTCCGCGCGACGCAGCGGCGCTGGACGCTGCGCTGGCCCAGCGGGACTCCGCCCGCTCAGGCGTTGGCGCACGGGCAGACAAGCGGGCGCGCCTGGCGTTGCGCTTTCGCGCGGGGCGCACGCGGGGCACGCTGGCCCGACTGCTCCAGTGTGGACTTGTTAGCGGCGACGGCGGCCCGGCTGAGACGCTGGCCCCGCGGGCAGGGCTCGCTGGCAAACTTCGAGGCGAGGAGGTGGTCGTCCTCGACGCCTTCGTGTGCCGCGGCCGCCTTCGGTGCGACGTGGCCCCCGTAGTCCAAGGCTCTGGGGCGGGCGCCGCTGGCGGCGCGCACGTGCTCAGGACGAGTTTGCGGCGTGGTTTGACCACGCGTGCCGGTTCTGATCTCACGGACGTGCAGCATCGGTGGCGCTGCCGGTCGATCGTCCGCGGTGTTCCATGGATGGCGCGCGTGCCCGAGGGCGTGTCGGATGGCGGGCGCGCAGCATCGGTGGCTCCGCGCGCTCTCGTGGAAGACGCGCAGATGTTGCAGTCTTTCCGCCACGCCCTCGCCGGCATGAACGTCGCGGCGCCCGCGTGCCAGCGGCCCGCGGCGCCAGTCCTCGTGATCCCGAAGGCCGCCGACGATCGCGCCCGGCAATTCCGGCACTGGGTCGCGCGTCAGCAGGGGGGGGCCGCGCTGCAGCCGAGCGGGGAATGCAGGCGCGGGAGCTACGTTTGGGACTTCCCGTGGCCAGTGCAGCTGGACCGTCAGAGGTGGGTATGCTTCACGTGCATGGGCTGTCCACGAACATGGGCATTGCCCGCAGGCGTCGTACGGCGGGCGCGGCGACGACGTCGGGCATCGCTGTTACTTCCCAGTCGCCGACGAGGACGTGGTGCGCGTCGCCCCTGACGCGATCGTCATCCGCGGCAACGCGGCGGAGGGCGGGCAGAAGGAGGGCCGCTGTTACGTGACTGGGAGGTTCCTGGCGAGATTCCTCTTCTGCCTGAATGACACGCTGAACTTCCGCGAGTGCCGTCGGCAGCTGCTCGGGGAGTACGTCGCCGTCGCGCGCGGCGCGGAGGCGGGCTTGAGCGACGCCGGCGCGCGGGCAGTCCTCTTCAACATCGCTTTCGCCCTCCCCAAGCGCAAGATGTTGGGCATGATCGCCCCGCGCGCCTTCTCCGCCCCGATTTCGCGGAGAGTGTCTGAGATGCGGCGCCTGCAGAGTCTCTACAACGGTTCCGGGCTGCGCGTGGACGGCAACTTCAAGCTGGCGAAGAAGATTTGGAGAGGTGCCGGCAAGTCCCGCCAGAAGCCCTTCAGTTGCGTGCTCGGCATCTGCGGGACGGACGGATCGCCCCTGCTGCCTGTCGCCCCCGTCCGCGGGGAGGCCTGGATGGACATCAAGCGCGTGCTGCAGCCTCTGCTCGCGGACATCGTCTCTGCTCGCCAGGCCGCCGGCATGTCCTTGGAGGACGCGTGCCCTGCGTTCGTCAGCACCGACTCCTACAACAAGCACTTCAAGAAGTACGCCGACGTGGTGAATGAGGCGTGCCAGCTTGCCCGGGTGCGGACGGCTGGCGCCACTCCGCGCGGCCCACTCGCCGCGCGCTGCATAGTCGCGCCTTCCGTCGGCGTGCTCGTGGCAGGCGAGCCGTTCCACGACGTCCTCAACGCGAGGAGGTGCGTGGAACGACAGCTCGGATCCAGTCGGCTTCGCCGCATCCGCCGCGCCTAGATCTCAGCTGGCCCATCGAACTGCCGGGCGCCAGAGCCCAGCCAGCACCGGTTCATTTGTTCGGTTTTCCCCGCAGGGGCGACGGGGCATGACGTGACGAGGAGCGCGGCCGCGCGCCTTGACGGGCGCGGAGAGCGACGGCTCCGGCGGACTTCTGCCACGACCACGCTGACCTGATCGGCCGGCTGAACGCGCCCCGCGGCCCACCCGAGGAACCGCAAGGCGCGCCTCCCGTGCCGGCGCTTGGAGAGCGCGGGCGCGACCTCCTGCGGACTGCTGTGGCTCAGTCTGCCGCGTCCTTCCAGGAAGCGCTCGCGCAGGATCCAGACGGCGCGCGCGATTTGCGCGCGTTCCTCTCGTCGCCAGGGGTTCTCCGCGCGAAAGGCGTCTGGAAGAGCGCGTTCGGCGCGCAGCCGCCGCGCCCCGTGCTCGCGCGGGTTGCGCGTCGAGCAGGGGCCCAGCTCGACGCCGCGCACGGGTGGCATCTCGCGGCCTTCGGCCCGCCCCGCCGCCACTCTCGGGTCGCGGGCGGGGCCCTAGAGCATTTGGGGAATGTTTCGGGGGCCTTCTCGGGGACCTCTTGGCAGCTTTCCTGGAGATGCTGGGCGTCTCGTTAGAGCGATTGACCGCGCGCCACGTCGCGCCCTGGGGCGCGGCGGCGGATAACTACAGGAGCCGCAAGGCATTTAAGCGGGAAATTAAACGAATGCGACGTTGGTACAGTAGTCCCAAGCGCCTGGCGCGCCGCCGCCGCGGCATCCTGAGGGTCTGCCCAGCCTGCGCCCAGGAAGCGCGCGGCCGCAGATGCGTCTTCAATTCGAAGCTGCGGCGGCATTACAGCCGCCTTCTCAAGTCGCGACGCTTGAGCGGCTTGCTTGCGTGGCAAGAGTGCGCCGAAGGCTTGCGGGCCGCCGGCGTGGGCCCTCGATCCGGCACCGTCCCAGTCGAACAGTCTTGGGCCATCACTGCTTCGCACTGGCCATCCGAGACTAAGACTGCAGGAGAGAAAGTTTTCAAGTTTTTTGCAGACTTGTCATTCCTGCGGTTTTTGTACATGCACTTCCACAGTTCGGCGTTGCCCGCGTGGGTCGACGATGACGTCATGTATTTCCAGCAGAGCGAACGCGCCCGTCTCATGCTCGAGCCCGAGACAGCTCTGCGGCTGGAGCAAGAGTTGGCGGACGCCGCTCGCCAGAGTTCGCAGTGAGCTGCATGCAGGTTGGCGCAATGCCATGTTAATTTTTTGCAGGGGCGAGGGCGACACTGCCCTACCTCCCGTGGTTGGGCCAGCCGCTAACTCTTGTATTGCCTTCGGCCCATTCCACCACCGTGCCTGGGTTCGTGGTCATGAGCTTCTTGGATGTTCGTCGAGATGTCGCGGGAGACCTCTCGAAAACCTTTTGGAGGCAGTTCAATGTCTCTTAGGGTCGTCCCGGGGCTTCCAGGGTGGCTCGGGCGCTTCCTGGAGCCTCCCGGTGGCATCTTGGGGCGGAAGGCTCGAGCTGTCGGTTCGGGGGTATTAGGCAGGAGACCTGGGGGCATTCCAACTTGCGCCTCAGAGCGCGGTGGCGGATTCGGCCGCCCTGTTCGTCTTCCTCTCCTCCATTCCTCCTCGCCCATCGGCCGCCGCGTCAGCGATCTACGTGCCAGGCTACGGAAAACGCACCCGTCATCTCAAGTTTGCCAAGCCCCCCCATCGATTGCCTTTTTCCCCCTCGTTCTGCCGCCCGCGCTCGGAGAGAGCAGGATGGGGCAGGGATGCCAAGACGATGAGGGAGAGGAGGAACACGAGAAGGAGCGTGTGGAGGAGGAATCTGCCCCGCCCGGGCAGGCAATATCGCGTTGCGTTGCCCCCACCGCGGCGAGTCGGAGGTCCTTCTGGTTTGCCCGTTTCTGGCGGCCTTGGGGCCCGACGGCGGCCCCCTAGGGCCCGAAATCTTCCCGGAAACGTCGAGCAAAAACGCGCCGCCGCCGCCGCCGAAGACGTCGTTGCTGCCGCCGCCGCCGCCGCCGCCGTCGTCGTCGTCGTCGTCGTCGTCGTCGTCGTAGTATGTCGTCGATCCCCGACCTTCAAGGATTCTTGCTCGTTTTAGGCCTCTGGGAGCCGCTTTCGGGGCCTGGGACCGTCAAAAACGGATCCAGGACGAAAAACTATCCCGGGTTGTCGTCGTCGTCGCGACTTGTCCAAATCTTTCGCCCCCCCTTCCGCGCCCCGGGACGCCCTCGCCGCCACGGCTGGAGAGCGACTAGAGTCTGGCCAGAGCGCGCCCCATCGACAGGTCCACGGGCCGATTTCGCATGGAAGCTCGAGGCTCAAGGATCGAGATCGGGAAACGAGGATTTGGGTTCGTCTGGGGGGGCTGGACTGGAAGGACCCCACGAATGCACGTCAGGGCGGGTCGGCAGGGGGGTCCGCCAACTCCTTGTTGATGGAAGGGCTTGGGCGGTCAACTCGGACACTCCGCGCCGATCGCAAGCTTGAACGGCAAATCAGCGCGTTGGCGCCGAAGCGCATTTAGCATGCAGCTCCCAAAACGCCAGAATCACGCACGATCCACGGCGGCGCAAGGGCAGGGGGAGGAGGGGGGCGAGAGGGAGGGTGAGGAATGTAAGGGTGAGGATAAAGGGGGCGAGGAGGGGACGGTAGAAAAGATTAGGATGCGCTTCACCACGTCGTACCACACTAGCGGGTGCCCAGGCCGCTGGTCAAAGTCGAGGTCAGCTGCAAGTTCGTGGGGTTCCCTAGTGTCATTGGCGATGGACTCCAGGCACTTCTTGATGGTCGCCACCGCGGTCTCCGCGTTCTCGAAGCCAGCGGAGGTCTCTTTGCTGAACAGGACGTCGTTGAGCGCACCCGCGCCCGCCCTAATCCTCGCGTCTGTGGCAGAAAATGCGGATTGCTGGATAGCGGGGATAACATTTTCGTGAGCCTTTCCACCAGTACCGTCTGATTGGCAAATGCTAACCTGTCTTGTAGGGTCAAATTTCTTCCGCGGTTCTGCCTCGACATAACTTCATGGAAAGAAGACGCTACGCGTTCCAATGGATCTCTGATCAAAGCAGCCTTGAATCCATCATAATTGACAACAAAATCAGCAACCTCCTGTCTGGTGAGATTCATAGGTGGAAAAACCGTCTTCATCGTACCACCGTGATCGCGAGCGACCTTGAGCAACGACGTCCCACCATTCTTAAATGTATGAATAACGGCGGAGCCGTGTAAAATGACGACAGTGCTGAGGGCGGACTTGTGGAAGCCTGGGGCGCACGACCTAAATTTCTTCAGATGTGTTCTCTCGCTCCACGAGGTGTCGAAATAGTGGAGGGATGGGACGGTTGATGTGGTGGAAGCACTAGTGCAAGACAAACACGTACTTTTTAAGCGCAAAATTGCACGTCCAGTCGTTCCCAATCGTATTGCAGCAACGGACAGAAGGAACAAAATCGCCCACGCTGCAACGAACAGACGGAACACGAATACGCAAGCACTCGGCAGCGTTGCCGTGTTCACCATGTATGCGCCGATACCTCTGCCGCAATGCCCGCCAGCACCCGGAACAACGAACGTGTTTGGCCAGCACTGCAAACCGAGCAAATACGGCTCAAGGCAAAAAAAGGCTTGAGCCTTGAGCCACAATGGCTACGGACCAGGATGCTCCGATGGCCGTCTCGGATTGCCAACGCGAGGCGGGAGGCCCTAAGGGAGGGTCTCCCGCTCGAGACGCCCTCGCGGTGCACTCACACTCTGGTGAGCGTCCGAGGGTTGAGTAACTCGGGGATGGACAGACCTCCCTTTAGTAAAACGTGGTTTAGTGATACCGTCAGAGGTTGAATCGGCCATCTCCTGGGGCAAGCTTCACAGGCGGGCATGGCAGATTCGTGTGCTGCCGCAGGCGGCGACAATTCAGGCCCCATCCAGACAGAGGTCGTCAAAGCCGAGTGCGAGTCGACCCAGCCTGGCGGCGACGGCAATGTGCAGCCGACAATGCCGTTCTCGTCGCCAGTCCGCCTCTTCGCTCACATCCGTGAGATCGACGCCACTGTGAAAGCGATGCGCCCGCGCTTGAGAGCCTTCGTTGAGCTGATGCTGAAGTCTGCGCTGGGCGCCCAGAAGCTGCACAAGCTCGCGGCCACCAGAGTGGGCGGCTCTTGGCACGATCACTTCGACAAGGACGCGTCGGGCGACACTGTCCTGAGACATTTCAACCACAACGTTGCGGTCATCGACAAGATTATCATATACCTTGAGAGCCTTCACTTGCTTGCCGACCCAGACTGGTGGCTCGACGGCGAGTCACTTTCAAAGAGCAGCACCAAGCCCGACGAGCAGGCCCTCTGCAACTTCAGCAAGGTCCACCACGAGCACACCTCAGTCACGCCCTTCACCGTGCTGACCTCATCCACCCTCGATCTCCCCGAGGTCGGAGATGACATCGCAGCGTTGTTCGCGGCGTTTGCTGAGCATGTCGGCCAGCGCATGTACGACTTCAAGGCTACAGCGTTCTTGGTAGATAAGAGTTCTACGATTTCTGACGTGGAGGTGCTCCTGGGGAGCGTTCACGCCGACGTCTTAAAGGAGTGCGACGACTCGGCCCTGTATCCTCACTTGCTGCCTAAGGGCGATGCCGACAATGTTGCGAAGCTTGCGCCCATTGATGTTTCTGGAAGCAAAGGGGATCCCAAGGTGTTGGAGCTTCTCCCTCATAACCGAGCTCTCGAGCACCTGCGATGCTTCATCAGAGCAGTCATGCTGACGGAGATCGACGTCCCTGGCATGTTCTACTCAACTGTGGATGCACCGGAGCCCAGCATCGACCTGTGCATGTTCGCTATGGAGCTCAAGTGCGCTGTCGCCGACGTGGTCGCAGTCATTTCCTCAGCCGAGGTGGCTATAGGCAGGAAGGCTCGCTCCAAGGATAAGCAGTTCATGAGTCAAGGGTACCTCTGCGGGACGGCCACCTTCATATTGCAGATCCTCCACGGTGCGCGACAGAAGCTGGACAGCATGGCCAACGACCCCAGGGCCATGGAGTTCGAGAAGACAGGCTGGCAGCTCCGCGAGTCGATCCACACCATGCGTCACTGGTGCTTGTTGGCGGCAAGAGTCAGCGGGCGTTACGAGAGCATGCTCTTGCTGGGCATGGCCGAGGTCTTGACCAACGAGGGACAGGCGACGGCAAAGGTCACCCCTACTTGGACAGCATGTTTCGTCGACGACGTGTTCAACGAGACGATGGCAATGGCGATGCTCAAGAACAAGCTGGACGTCGTGATCAACCGCCACAACTCACTCCACACCTGCATCAAGGCCTTCTCCACGTCAGCAGCCGTGCTGTCCATCAACCCCCGCGTGCAGGACCACCCGGCGACGTCCGAGTCAGTGAACGTGGCACTCCAGTTGCTGAAGGACGCTGCGGAAGCAAGCGTGGTCATCAGGGGCGTCGACCTGTTGACTGCGTATCGTCATCGCCCTGAGGGGCCGACGAAAGCGACGGAGTTCTTGACGGAGAACGAGGGTCGCTACCCCAAGGTACCGCAGTGCTTCTGGCAGTTGTTCAAGGACCTGCAGGCGCACGCACTTCCAGCCCAGCCTTTGCCAGCACAGGCTGGC